AGTAAATTGACCATTTCGTCAAAATGAGAAATCCGTCTTTATCTCTCATAACACTTTTTGCCTTAAAGTCTATTTTGTCTGCTAATGTCTAAAGTTGCCACATCAGCTTTCCTTTGGGTAGTGTTGGCGTGGTACATCTTTTCCCATCCTTTTTTTTTTTCAACCTTCCTGGCTATTAAAGTGTTTTCTTTTAAACAGTATATAGTTGCCTCTTATCTTTAATCCAATCTTTACATTTAAAATGATTACCATGTTTCTTTGTTGTTGTTTTTTTTGTCCAGTTGTTCTTTTTTAAAAAATATTATGCCACCCTGGCTGATGTGGCTCAGTGCCGGCCTGTGAACCAAAGGGTCACCACTTTGATTCCCAGTCAAGGCACATGCCATGATTGCGGGCCAGGTCCCCAGTAGGGATATGTAAGAGGCAATCATACATTGACGTTTCTCTCCCTCTCTTCCTCCCTCCCTTCCCCTCTCTAAAGATAAATAAATAAAATCTTTAAAAAGAATATTTTATTTATTTATCTTTAGCGAGTAGAAGGGAGGGAGAGAAATATCAATGTATGGTTGCCTCTCTTGTGTCTTCTGCTGGGACCTGGCCCGCAACCCAGGAATGTGCCCTGACTGGGAATCGAACCTCGATCCTTTGGTTCGAAGGTCCTCGCTCAGTCCACTGAGCTACACCAGCCAGGGAATTAAATAAAATCTTTTCTAAAAATACAGCCCTGGCTGGTATAGCTCAGTGGATTGAGCATGGGCCTGCAAATCAAAGGATTGCTGGTTCAATTCCCAGTCAGGGCACATGCTCGGGTTGCAGGCCAGGTCCCCAGGAGGGGGCATGTAAGAGGCAACCGCACATTGAAGTTTCCCCCTCTCTCTTTCTCCGTCCCTTCCCCTCTCTATAAGAGTAAATAAATAAAATCTTAAAAAAATACAAATATTATTTCTTTTTTCCTGCCCTTTTGTTGATACTAGAGTATTTTTATAATTTCATTGCCTTTGTTAATTTTTGCATAATACCTATTAGTGTCAACTAAGGGATTACCCAAGAAATTATAAAAATACACCTGTAACATAATATAGAGTACCATAAATTAGTACTTTTATCATATCCTGAGCAATGCAAAAACTTAATGATATATTTGTATTATTTAATCCCTACTCTTTGCTATGTTAGGAGAGATCTTTTTTCCATATATGTTATAAATTCCACAAGACATTGTTAGTGTTGTTTTCAAGGAAGTCAGTGGTCTTTTAGCCACATGTTTACCTTTTCTGAAACTCTTGATTTTTGCTGACATTTGTGATATCATCTTAGGACTATTTTCCTTTTGCCTGAAGATTTCTTTATAATATTTTTTGCTTGCTGGTGAGGAATTCTCTTAGCTTTTGTTTGCTTTACAATGTTTTTATTTTGATTGCGGTTTGGATGAATTTTTTCAGTGGAAATGAAATTCTTGGAAGTTTTGTTTTTGTTCTATACTTTAAAGATGCCATTCTATTCTTTTTGCTTCCATAGTTTTCATTGAAAAGTCAGTGATATTTCTTCCTGTTCTTGTATATCAGGGATTCTTACCTGAGAGTGATTTTGTGTTGTTTTTTTTTAGCACCTCCCCCAGGGGACATTTGGCAGTGTCTGCATATATTTTGATTATCTCCACCTGGTTGGGAGGGACGTATGCTGCTGGTATTTGGTGGGGCCTGTAGTTCCTTCTGAGCTTCTTACGATGCACAGAACAGAACTCACAACAAACAATGATCTTAATGGGTCAGTAGTGCCAAGATTGAGAAACTGTGCCCTAGAGGTAATGTCTTAATTTTTTCTGATTATTTACAGGACTTTCTCATCATTTTTGATTTTCAGTAGTTTGATTACGATATGCCTCTATCTTTTCTGGGATAGATTTGAATTCCCTCTTACAATACACTATCTTTTAATCCATTTGTTTATATTTCTTTTTTATTTAACATATTCATCATAGTTTCCTTGAAATTTTAATCTGCTAATGCCACTCTTTTGATTACTTCTGGATCTCCTTCCATTAACTATTTTAAAATATATATATTTTGTTGATTATGCTGTTATAGTTGTCCCATTTTTTTCACCCTTTTTCCCCCTCAACCCTGCACCTCCCATCCCACCTACATTTACCCCTCTTAGTTCATGTCTGTGGTTCGTACATGCAAGTTATTGGGCTTCTCCATTTCCTATACTGTTTTTAAGCTCCCCCTGTCTATTTTGTATCTACCATTTATACTTCTTATTCCCCGCTTATTTCCTGCTGAAGTATGATTTCCTTCACATTTCCTCCCATTCCCAGCTCTTCCTGCTGATAACCCTCCATGTGATTCTGTTCCTGTTCTAGTTGTTTGCTTAGTTTGTTTTTGTTTTTGTTTAGTTTTTCATAGTTATGAGTTTGTTTTAATGTTACTGTTTGTAATTTTTATCATAAATTTTTTCTAAGATAAATCCCTTTAACATCTCATATAATAAGGGCTTGGTGACGATGAACTCCTTTAGCTTTACCTTATCTGGAAAGCACTTTATCTGCCCTTCTGTTCTAAGTGATAGTTTTGCTGGATAGAGCAATCTTGGATGTAGTCCTTGATTTTCATGATTTACAATACTTTTTTCCAGCCCCTTGTTGCCTGTAAGGTTTCTTTTGAGAAATCAGCTGATAGTCTTATGGGAACTCCTTCATAGGTAACTCTCTCCTTTTCTCTTGCTGCTTTTAAGATTCTCTCCTTCTCTTTAATCTTGGATAACGTAATGAGGATGTACCTTGGTGTGTGCTTCCTTGGGTCCAACTTCTTTGGGACTCTCTGAGCTTCCTGGACTTCCTGGAAGTCTATTTTCTTTGCCACATTAGGGAAGTTTTCCTTCATTATTTTTTTCACATAAGTTTTTAGCTTCTTGCTCTTCCTCTTCTACTTCTGGTACCCCTATGATTTGGATGTAGGAACATTTGAAGTTGTTCTGGAGGTTCCTAAGCCTCTTCTCATTGTTTGGAATTCTTGTTTCTTCATTCCCTTGTGGTTGAATGTTTATTTCTTCTTTCTGCTCCAAATTGTTGATTTTAGTCCTGGTTTCCTTCCCTTCACTGTTGGTTCCCTGTATATTCGTTTCTCTTTGCAAAGCCTTCACTTCTTCCTCTATTTTGTGACCATATTCAATCATTTCTGTGAGCATCTTGATCACCAGTGTTTTGAACTCTGCATCTGATAGGTTGGGTATCTCTTCATCATTTATTTCTATTTTTGGATCTTTAATCTGTTCTTTCATTTGAACCATATTTCTTTGTCTCAGGGGGGCCTGTTACATTGTAAGGGGCAGAGCCTGATGTATTTGCGAGGGTGGGGCAACCTCCTTCACTGTGCCGTGGTGCTGAATTGTCCCCTAGAGGGAACAATGTCGCTTGCTCGCCTCTCAGCCAGCTTTTAGTCACTTACCCTGCTACCCACAAGCAAATTGGGTCCTTACGATGCTGACACCTGGGTAGATCATCTTGTGTGCATTCTAGGACCCTGTGGGCTTTCCAAGGAACTCTCCTGTGAGGCTGGGAGTTTCTCCCTCCACCGCAACCCCCATAGGTTTTTTCAGTTAGAGTTTTGAGGCTTTATTTCCCGGTGCTGGAACCCTGTGTTGCACAGTCTGTCTCCACAGTTGTTCCTGCTGGTTTATCCGCACACAAAAGTGAAACCACCTGGTACACCAGCTGCCACTTCACCTGTCTGGTCTTTCAGCTGCCAGATTACTGCATGTCCTCTCTGCCCAGGCTGTCTTTCTCTGTTCCTTCTCCCACCCTTGATGAATGTTTCTTCTTTAACTCCATAAAATTTGATTTTTCTGGCAGTTTTGGTTGTTTTTGTTTTTAAATTTTTTGTTGTTCTTTTGATCGTGTGAGGAGGCAAAGAGTATGTATCTACGCCAGCACCTTGTCCAGAAGTCCCCATTGACTATTTTATCTGTTGATTACTGGCTACTTTACTGCTTCTTAGCATGTCAAGTAACTTTCAATTTTATGTTGAACATTGTAGGTGAAATATAATAGGAGCTGTGAGTTATCTTTTTTGAAAGATGTTGAATTTTGTTTTGATAGGCTGTTAAATTTATCAGCCTCTTCACTTTTATCTTGTCTAGGCCTGGTTTAGTGTTTTGTTAGTTTTAGTCTGTTTCATTTTTTTTTTTAACTGTATTTCTAGAGTGTGGTCCTTCTTCCTAAGGTGTGGCCTTATTGGGGTTACAAAGGAATGTCTGGGGTCTTGCACCAAGGTCTCTCAGCTTTGGATGGGCTCATACTCCCAACAGTTTTCTTAGCTCTGACCTTTGGAATCTCAGCTTCCTAGCATCTGCTTCTGGCCAGGTCTCCTGGTTTTTTCTTATTCTTGTGCAGTTCTTCAGATGATCAGGATTTGACAAAATTTCTAAGACATTTGGGGTTTACTTTTCATGGCTAATGCCTATTCAGCATGCCATCCCTCCAAGCCCAGCCACCTTTGCCTAGAATTCTGGTCTCTGTTCCCTCTATCTATTGAGGTCACTGGTCTGTGTTTTGACTTCAGTTCAAGTACAACCCCCAGAAAATGCTTCTAGGGGAAATTCTTGGGGAAGTATTGGATCACCTCATGTTTCTCTTCTCTCAGGGTTTGCAGCCTTGTGCTGACTATAGCCCATGCTTACAAACAGTTGTTTGTATATATTTTGTCCAGATTTTAAAGTTATTTATGATTGGAGGTTAATTCTGATACTAGTTATTCTCCATTGCCAGAATCTGAAGTCTCTCCATTTTCTTTTATAGACAGATTAACTGGTTTTTAAAGTCAAATATATTGTTTTGTATTTATTTTGTTCTAGAAGAAGCATTTTGGTTTGGTTGTCATTAGGGAGTAAGTTTTATATTTCGTAGAAATAAGTGTTAATTGAGAAATCAGCTTATGTTAGTTAACTTATTATACATTACTCGATATCTTAATTGTCCATTGTGTTTTTTGTGCTTCAAGGAATCATTTATTGCAGTTTGCCTTAGAGTCACCACCCATTTCTCCTGCTTCCTCCTCTTCAAAGAACGTTGCTGCCAAAGTACACACTCCTGTAGCCTTCAGACATTCTTTAAAGCAAGGAAGCAGGTTAATGGAAAATTTCTTGATTAGAGAAACTGGTGATTCTACATCCAGATTGTTGATGAATAAGAGTGAAAACAAATTCAGCCCTCAAAAAGTGGTGAGCACTTCTGCAAAGACCAATGAGACACCTTCCTTGGGAAAGAGAGTTTCAGGCATCGTGGATGCTAATGCTGCTGAATCACCCTCTACATCAACTTTGAAACAAGTTACTAAAGGTAGGAAATTACTTTCATGTGTGTATTTTCTGAATGGAAACCTTCTCATCCCTCATGACGTAAGAATAAATAAGTACCATTTTTGAGTGGGGAGAAATTCAAGAAAGAGCAAGTCATATCTCAGCTTACAACAGTCTCAAAAGTTGATGTAGGCATTGCCTCAAGATGTTCTGTTTCTCTCTGATTCAGGCTGATTGCTGCATAAATGAAGCAGTTTTCATTAGTTTACACTTTGAGCATGACAGTAGCTTTCAGTTCCCCCCTCATCTTTCATATTTTTCTACTTTAATCTTAAAGAGTGCTTTGTATGTTATTATACCACCACTTGCACACTTCCAAGCTGTTCCCACTGCTATTTACAGCCTAAAACAATATGACCCCTGCCCTTCCTGTCCAAACTTACTCAGCTCTGCCTCTCAAAAGTCCTCTGCTCTAGCCAAGCTGGTCTCTGCATGCTTCTTGAATGCACCCAGGGACTGGCAGTCACTATTTGCAGGCCAAATTTGGCTTGTCACACCTATTTTTGTCAGTAAAGGTTCACTGGAGCACAGCCACATCCTTTGTTTGCATGTTGTCTTGGCTGTTTTCATGCCGCGTGGTGTGTTGAGTAGTTGTGACAGAGGCCGCCTGGCTCCCGAAGCCCGCAGCCTTGACTGCCTGGCCCTTTGTGGTTTGTGGCGACCCCATTCTGCCTTTTGGGCTCTGTTGGTAACCACTCTTTGGTTATGTTGGGTAGTATTGATAGGTCATGTCACTGAAGTGGTAGAGCATGTTTTCTGGTCTCTTCCTCTATAATCTGCTGAACTTTTTAATGAGTGAGTCAGCCTGTTAACCTGTTGATTCATGTCTGTTCTTGCCAGTGATGTTTAGAGGACCTTGTAGGCAGAAGCTGTGCCTTAGACATCTTTGGTACACTCACAGCACACACAATGCAGGGCTATCAGTGGCTTAAATTATTAAATTTAAATTGACATTAGTGTATTAGTATCCAATTGTTTAAGTTTCATAAGGATATGTCCATTTTACTTGTATTTCCTGGTACACCTTACTTTTGGTCAGTCTGTCAGTTCACAGTTCTTATGGTAGTGTTTTTAGCTTGATAGTTAAATTATTTATTCCAGCAGAGTCATATTTGCAAATGAAATCTTACAGTGAACCAGCATGTATAAAAGAGCTCAAACAGGCCCTGCTGTGTTAGCGATGTGCTGCTCCGCCTGACCTCTCCCTTTGTCGCTGTCTGTCACCTGTGGTGGCCTCTAGACCCCAAGATAGCTGTGTAGATCCCTGCAACTCCAGGAAACAGTTTGAGAATGATTGTGTTTCCTAATTTTAACTTACAAACAAGACTAAAGCAAATTTGTAACCATTGATAAAGTGAGCAGTAGTTGGCCCAAACCTGTAACTGCTTTACTCCGGCTGTGCCACCCCCCCTTCAGGTCGCCCCCAGCCCAGTGTGTCTTAACTCAGGTTGTTGCGATTGCTTTGCACTGCACACGGGTGGGCGGCCCTGAGAGTTGGGAAAACCTAGGATTAGTTTTATAGTTTCTTCACGCCTTGGGAGAAATGACTTAACCAAAGCATTTTCTGATAAACAAATCCTCAAACTTCTCTGCAGTCTCTTTTGAATTCCGCGACCTCCCACAGTTCAGTCCTTACCAGTAACCAGTCTGTCCCCCTCCTGTTGCCCAAGGGCCATTCTTTCCCTCTTCTGCTTTTCTAAGTTGTTCATGTTGGGATTTTAGTTTTTATCTTAATCTGCGAACCATGCCATGTTATATTATTTTTTGCCCATTCTACCAATAATAAATCATCTTTTCTTTTTTAAAAAAATATAGTGGATTGTCCTGTTTGTGGGGTTCATATTCTGGAAGATCATATTAATAAGCACCTGGACAACTGTTTATCGCGTGAAGAGAAGAAGGAAAGCCTCAGAAGGTAAGAAAGTCAGGCACAACGGTAGAGCTGCTTTAGCTAGATGCCCTTGGTGCTTTTACAAACTTGGGGGGAAACCACAGATTCCTTTTATCCTCGTGACCAGGTGCCAGAGTCCCTCTCCCACTTGCTCTTGCCTTTCCTTCTGTCAGTTCCTCATCCGTTCTCTCGCCTTGTTCTTCATCTGCTCCCACTTTGCCAGTGTAATTAGCTATTAAATGTAACTGCTAATGGAATTTGACTTAACAAGAAATTAGTGACTTAGGATTAAATTTTTTTTAACTTGCTTCCTTCTCTTAGAACTTTAGAACTACCATAAAGCTCCTTAACCAAAGACAGTAAGGTTATACTCTGAATATAGAACATATAAAATCTTTCTTTGGTCTTTCGGATGCTCAGAGTTTTCACAATTTTAAATATAGCTAGTTTAAAATAAATGTTTTCCCTGTAGGCAATTCTGTACATATGCCTTTACAAGGTACAAAAGGGTAGATCTATATATGGAATGGAATGTCCTCCTGCCTCAGCCCCCCACCGCCCAGGGGGCATAACTAATAAATGATCAGCTCAGTGTTTGCACCCACACTTCTGTTTTGCCTCCCTTATACATCAGAGTCACATTAATTTATTTATGCAGATCTCTGTCGTTATACATATGGATTGTTTGGGAATGAAATTTTAGTCAAAGTTATATTGCAGGTGCTCAGGAATCGGTGGTTAATGAAGATGATAAGAAAGCAGAAGCCGCAAATTAGAGGAGTCTGGTGATGAAGGGAAGAAGAGAGATGAGACCGTGGTTTGGGAAAGCAGGAAATATCTAGAATAAGGAAGATTTTATTTTTTAAAATAGAAATTGGTTAAGCCTTCAGTCTCTCTCCTGCTGTTTGCAGGGAAAGAGCAGATGTTGGATGGAACAAGGTCAGGAGCATAAGAGATGAAGAGCCCAATAATGAAGTTAATCTTTGATGTGTAGAAAGAACTTTTCCTCTGAAACAGAAGGGGTCAGAGAGATTTGGAAAAGGAGGAGGGGGAAGTAAAGAAATCAATGGAGTCTGGGAAGTTGGGGGGAATAGATTGATAGGCTCTTACGTTTTCCTGTTTTGAAGGACTTGGAAGAGCATTTTCTAAAAACCATGTTATTAAGGGAGGAACTTTTCTTATTTTTTGTGATTAAAGATAAAATGGCATCACTTAATTTTTGAGTACCAGTAAATATGGAGTGAAGTCAGGTTTCACGGGACAAACTCATGCTGTTATAACTTAGGAAAGCTAATACATACCCCACAATGATGCTTTATTAATTTGCTTTGGGGGGCATTAATTGACATTTTTTTATTGCAGTATTTTTAGCTTGATAGTTAATATTTTTCCCCCAGCAAAACCTTTTTTCAAGTGAATTCTTACAGTGAACTATAACATTTAAAAATAGATAAAATTGGTTCTGGCTGGTGTGGCTCAGTGGATTGATTGCTGGCCTGTGGACTGAAAGGTCTCTAGTTCGATTCTCAATCAGGGCACATGCCTTGGTTGTAGGCCAGCCCCCAGTGTGCAAGAGGGAACTTACTGATGTTTCTCTCCCTCTCTTTCTCCCTCTCTCTCTCCCTCTCTCTAGAAATAAATAAATAAAATAGGTAAAATTGGCTGTGCTGCTTGATCGTCCCTAGCTATTGTCCGTGGCGGCCTGCAAGCCCCCCGTAGGGCCACAAGTGCCTGTGCAGTCCTGTGTGCCCAGCACTGCCTCCTGATGGGTAAATGTGTTGCTGAGAATAAAATTCGATTTTTGTAGGTTACTTTATTAGTCGAGATTTGGAATAAATGAAATTGGATCATCTCAAGGATTATTTCCTATAAGCCATCAGAATTGGATGGGCTGTATTTCACTTTAGAAATGTTTCCTTCTAAAGAAAGAGTTGGGGATGTAGAAGCTGAGCATTTTCTCTTTGAAGAGTAAGGAATCAACACAGATATCTTACTTGGACTGCTGTTTTTCTAGATGTACCCATCATATGTCCTCTAACACATTTACCTCTTGTGATGAATCCAAAGACATATATAGTTAAGTTCAAGTTCCAATAGTAGTTCCAGACCCTGCTCTGTGGGCTGCTGCAGTCCTGCCAGTTGCTCTGTTGTTGAACTTAGAAGCACTGCAGACTGAAATCTGCCTCTTAGGAAAAGACTGACTATACAAGTTAGTTTATTGAAGCCTCTGAGAAGTCCTCCATTAAAGACAATTGTTAGATTTTCTTTAATCCAGTAATTCCTAAATTTATCTTACTCCCAAACCTCTTTGTCCTGATAACTCATATCTCACGAAACTGGTGTTTGTGAAGCTACATTTAGGGAAACATTGAGCCTCATTTCTCTTTAAAGAAGTTAAAACTTGGTCCAAGATCTTGTCACATAAGAGCCTCTGACATTAAAACATTTTTTCCATAACACCCTGACAGGCCATTTTCTTGATATAGATGGCAACCCTTAACCCATTCTGTGTAGACTCATATCAGAGTTAATTCAAAGAATGCTGTTTCTTTTGATGTCTTCAGGTTCTGAGGACCGCTAAATGTGTTCATGCGGTTTCACTAAATCGTGGAAGAAAAATCAGTGTCATTTTCATGTTTTGGGACACATTTGTGAGGCTTTGTGTTTTAGCATTCTTGGCAGAAATTGTTTTCTGCTGGTACTTTTCATTGTATGTGCCAATGAAGAGTGCAGCTTTCCATTGGAGTTTCGTAGTCATGAGTTATCTGTCCTTGATAAAATAAATGCTTTAGCTGTATAGATTGAGTGCATTGTCCCTCACAATGCACTTGCATAAACTACTACAAAATGTTTCAGCTCTAGCTACCTGCCAGGATTTAACCATAATTTTATCAGTGTTGTTGAGTTCAATGGCCTATCATTGTAAGAAGAGTGATTTTCAGGAAAATATTATCTGTTGAGAGTTTGCGGGTCTTTCTACAATTAAATAGTTATTTCTGGCTTTTAAACTTTATTGATAGGTCATAAATGAAATAATTTAACCAGAGAATGATACTGTTGGTTAGTAGAGAAATGTCTGTTTTTTTTTCAGTCTATATTTAACTATTATTTCTGTCATTGTGTTCTGAACTATTTACATCAGATTTACCCTGTGGAACCTTATTAATATAGACTTTAGGTCCCCACTTCAGGACAGAGTAAGTTGGGGGTTGGTTTGGAGAAGTGACTGAGAATCTGCATTTTAAATAAGCTCTCCAAGTGGTTCTGAGACACACTGAAGTTTGGGTGGCATGGCCTTCTGTGAACTAGTTATATGGAAGTCCTTTGTAAAATCTTGTTTTTTGATAAAATTATTGCTTTCAGCTTCCTATTAATTTTTACCTGAAATTTTGATAGTGTTGTTTTAAAATGATTGCAGTTATAATAACTACCTTGAATACATATTCATTAATCACCTAATCGCCATAGTGTTGAGTCAGGTGATACACTCAGAGAACAAGTTCATAATCAGATTAATACTCACTAACTAGTTTCTGTTTATAAAATTGTCTTAAGTCATTGATACCCTTGGGTAGCTTGACTTCTATTCCATTTTAATGTTTATTAACTGGTATTTTGGAGGGAGTAAAAGAAACTCATTTAATCGGCTTTGTTATATTTAAAATTAGAGTTTAGTGCTAATCAGTATATCAATTATGAAAATAGAATGGAGAGCCAGATGGTGATTTTGCTAGTACCCTTCTTGTAGTGCCTTATATACATATTTGTTAGTATAATTACTTTAAGTTGAAGAGAACAAAGCCCTGTTGTGTTTTTTGCTGTTGTTTTCAGATGTGTTCTTTGAAGATGATAGCACAAGAATACCATCTACCCATCAGTTTTCTGAATTCCTTTTTCATTGGTGATAATGAATTGGATAAAGCTAATTGTCCCAACAGGTCTTTTATTTCACCTAGTGCTTTTGCAAAATGATTGTCTTGGACTTGCGGGGCAGTTTTGCCTGTGGATTAAAACGTTTTCTAAAGAAGATACGTATGGTGGTAATGTTCAGTCCATAGCTTAATACATAGTAGGATTAGTACTCTGTTCGATATAACTGCTCTTTGCAGAGATTTTGCATAGGAGCTAGAGGCAAATTTTAGGAAAACCATGCTTTAAAGAGATAGAGAATTGAATAAGTCTACATAAATGTGATTCTTAGTGAAATTCTCATAGCATTTAGTTCATGGGCCTTCTATGTGAGTCCCCAGTCGGCAGCTTCAGGCCTGCCCGCTTTCTGAGACCTGAGTTTCTCTATCTGAATGTCCCACTGGCACCTCTCATGCATCATGTTAAACACAGTCAGCTTGATTTACAAATTTCATCCTTCTCTTTTCCATTTTTATCTTAATGGGTCCATTCTCCTGGTCACCCTGGAATTGAGTCAGAAGGTAAATTATTATCATTCATTCATTCATTCATTTATTTATTTTTAGAGAGAAGGGAAGGGAAGGAGAAAGGGAGAGAAACATCAATGTGTGGTTGCCTCTCACGTGCCCCCTATTGGGGACCTGGCCTGCAACCCAGGCATGTGCCCTGACTGGGAATCAAACTGGTGACTCTTTGGTTCCCAGCCCACGCTCAATCCCCTGAGCTACACTAGCCTGGGCTAAATTACTATCTTAAATGAAAAGCATTTGATAATTCACAATAATACTCAGTTATCTCGTTTCCTCCCCTTTTCAGTTCTGTTCAGAAAAGGAAGCCGCTGCCCAAAACTGTATATAACTTGCTATCAGATCGTGATTTAAAGAAAAAGCTAAAAGAACATGGATTATCTATTCAAGGAAATAAACAACAGCTCATTAAAAGGCACCAAGAATTTGTACACATGTACAATGCCCAGTGTGATGCTTTGCATCCTAAATCAGGTAAAGCAATAAAACAGTGAGTAATGCTCATCCTGCATACAGCAGTTTTGTATAGCTCAGGATTATAAATCATAGAAATAGATTTTTAATAGATATACTTTTGAAAATAGTTAAGACATGCAAATGTATTTCTTCAGAAGGTATTAGATTATATACTATGATACACTAGCCTTTCTCTCAGCCAGTCTCAGTCCCCATTCTCTTCTCAGAAGCAATAACTGCTGCCAGTTTCTATGTGTCTTTCCAGAGATAGTGTGGGATAAAGAGTTGATTTAGAGAGCCTGGGTTATGGTACCAGCTTTGCAGCATGTGACTGGGTGACTGTGGGCAAGTTCCTTAAATTCTTTAAATGAATGGATTGAAAAACTGGTATGTTTACACAATGAAATACTATGCAGCAGAAAGAAAGAAGGAGCTCCTACTCTTTGTGACAGCATGGATGGAACTGGGGAGCATTATGCTAAGTGAAATAAGCCAATGGTGAAAGACAGATACAATATGATCTCACCTATAAGTGGAGCCTAGTAAAGAAAACTAACAAACACAAAAAATGAGAACCAGAGACATGGAAATAAAGAACAAACTGACAGTGACCAGTGGGGAGCAGGGAGTAGTGTAATGAGGGAAAGAAGGGGAAAGGGCACGTCAAGGAACATGTATAAAGGACCCATGAGCATGGACAGCAGGGCGGGGATTGACTGTGGGAGGGAGGGAGTTGGGCCAGAGGAGAGCAGTGGGGAAAAGAGTGGACCAACTGTAATTGAACAACAATTAAAAAAAATAAAAACAGCATTCCAGCCAAATGGAGGCATAGGTAGATATGCTTTGCCTCCTTGCACAATCAAAAGAAGGAAATAATTTAAAAACAAAAAATTAACCAGAACTGCCAGAAAATTGAACTGGAAGTTCAGTTTGGAACTTCCAGTTTGGAAGTTTGACAATCAAGGAGTTAAGAAACATTTATCAAGATTGCACCACAGCACAGCAAAGCGAGTTGCTCTGCCTTGGTGAGCCCCTATGGCTCTGACCCTTGCAGTGCAACAGGTGCACCAAGGCAAAGAGATACAGCCCAAATGAAGGAACAGATCAGAAATCCAGTAAAAGAACTAAGCAATGACTAGATACCCCCATCAGATCCAGAGTTCAAAAAAATGGTAGTCTGCATGCTCACAGAAATGATTGAATATGGTCACAAAATAGAGGAAGAAGTGAAGGCTGTGTAAGGTGAAATGAAGAAAAATATACAGGGAACCAGCAGTGAAGGGAAGGAAACCAGGACTAAAATCAACAATTTGGAGCAGATGGGAAAAAATAAACATTCAACCAAAACAGAATGAAGAAACGAGAATTCAAAAATAAAATGAGGAGAGGCTTAGGAACCTCCAGGATAACTTTAAATGTTTTTACATCTGAAATATAGGGGTGCCAGAAGTAGAAGAGGAAGAGCAAGAAATTGAAAACTTATTTGAAAAAATAATAAAGGAGAACTTCCCCAATCTAGCAAAGGAAATAGACTTCCAGGAAGTCTAGGAAGCTCAGAGAGTCCCAAAGAAGTTGGACCCAAGGAAGCACACACCAAGGCACATCCTCATTACATTATCCAAGATGAAAGAGAAGGAGAGAATCTTAAAAGCAGCAAGAGAAAAGGAGAGAATTACCCAGAAAGGAGTTCCCATAAGACTGTCAGCTGATTTCTCAAAAGAGACCTTACAGGCAAGAAGGGGCTGGAAAGAAGTATTCCAAGTCATGAAAGGCCAGGACCTACATCCAAGATTGCTCTATCCAGCAAAGCTATCATTTAGAACAGAAGGGCAGATAAAAGTGCTTTCCAGATAAGGTCAAGTTAAAGGAGTTCATCATCACCAAGCCCTCATTATATGAAATGTTCAAGGGACTTATCTAAGAAAAAGAAGATCAAAACTACGAACAGTAAAATGACAACAAACTCATAACTATCAACAACTAATCATAAAAAAGAAGCAGACACCTAGAACAGGAACAGAATCACAGAAATGATCACATGGAGGGTTATTAGCTGTGAGGGGAAAGGGAGAGAATGAGGGAAAGGTACAGGGAATAAGAAACGTAATTGGTAGGCAGAAAATAGGGGAAGGTTAAGAATAGTCTAAAAAATGGAGAAGCCAAAGAACTTATATGTATGACCCATGGACATGAACTAGGTGGGGTGAGGGGGGAATGCTGGAAGTACTGAGCGTACAGGACCAAGGGGGACAAAAGGGAAAAATGGACAACTGTAATAGCATAATCAATAAAATATGCTTAAAAAATGTGTAAAAAGCTGCCAATTACTATAGCATCAAAATAGTGAAATACTTGGAATAATAGTGGTAAGTTAATATTCATAGATGGTTGGCATGTTATGTAGCACTTAAAGTTATAAATGTACTGTAAGTAAAGTGTTTACAATATACTTTAAAGCAAAAAGATTATCTGAGTTTTCTCATCAATAAGATAAAGGTTACAACACTACCTACTTCATGGTGTTTTTGAGAGAAATACGTGAAAATAAAAGTCATATAAACTGCCTAGCACAGTACCTTAGCAAGTAGTTAGTATTCAGTAAATGTTACCATTATGGTTATTACACATAAAGATATGTCCTTGATCACTGTGGCTTTATAAGTTGTTTGTGTTATGTAGTCATACACCACATAACATTCCAGTTCACAATGGGTCACAGATAGGACAGTGGTCCCTGGAGATTATAGTGGAGGTGAACCATTCCTATCTCCCAGTGATGCTGTTGTTGTCGCCATAGCCTCCTAGTGGGACGTGTTACACAGATAGTTACTGTTACATCACAGCTGCCCAGTAATGTGTTATGCAGGCTTGTGGCCTTTGGAGCAGTAGGCTGTACCATGTAGCCAAGGCGTGCAGTAGGCTGCGTCCCATAGGTTTGTGTAAGTGCGCTCTGTGGTGTTTGCACGACAAAGTGGCCTAATGACACATCACTCACAGAGTGTCCCTGTTGTCGAGTGGTGTGGGACTGCACACACTCTTCAGTGATTTCTCTTTTTCACTTAACCATACACATATTTTGGAGTTTTTTCAATTGTGAGCGTATATAGAATTGCCAATATTAAAAAAAAATAGAGTACAAGATGTAAACACAAAGGTACACAGGGTGTAAGTGTATTGTTTGGTGAATTATCACAAAGTAAGTTTCACCAAGGGCACTTATCTCTAACCACTACTCATCACCACCAGGATCTCAGAAGCCCCTGCCCCTCCCAGTCACTGCTGCCTTCATTCTGTGGACAACCACTGTCTTGACCGCTGACACTGTACATTCATTCTGCCTATTTTGGCTTATAATAAATAGTTTATATACACTGAGTGTATCTTTATTTGTACAATGCTATGTTTATAAGCTTCTTTCATGTTTTTGTGTACATTTGTGATTTCAAAAGATTTTGTTGTTGCTCTGAAGTATTCTGTTATGTATCTCAGTTCCCTTTCACTGGTTGATGGACATTTGGATTTTTCCACTCTTTGGCTCATAAAAATTATGCTGCAGTGAATAATCTTTTCCATGTCTCTGTGTACACAGGCACACAAGTTTTTTGAATATATATATCCAGGATTAGAATAGTTATGTTTTTGCAGATGTTCAGTTTGCGTGGATACAGCTGAAAAGTTAGTGCCAATGTACATACTTATGAGGAAGGTGTGAGAGTTCTAGTTTTTCCACATCCTTAATGACCTCAGTACAGTCAGTTTTCTATTTTGGCTATTCCAGTGAATCCATGGTGGTATTTCATTATGGTTTTAATTTGAGCTTTCCTAATGACTGTAATATTTAGCACATTTTTATGTGCCATTGGCCATCTGGACATCCTCTTTGATGAAATGCTCATTTAGGTCTTACGCCCACATTTTCTGTGTCGTGGATCTGTTTTTTTCTTATTTATTGTGAGAGTACATGAAAATTTCTGGATAGAAATCTTGCTGGATGTTTGTGTATTTAATTCGTTCTTCCATTTCACCTTTTCATCCCCAAGGGCTTCATTTGAGAGGAAGTTCTTCATTTAATATGACCCAGTCTGGTGCAGCTTTCCTTTTTCATGTCCTTGCCTACCACAAGGTCATGTGGATCTTCTCTTTTCTTCGAAAAACTTTATTATTATTGCTTTTACATTTTGACCTGTGGTTTCTCTGGGTTTGATTTTGCCATATGTTATGAGGTAGGAAGTGAGATTCTTCTTTTTCTATGTAGATAGCCAATTGATACAGCACCATGTATTAAAAAACCATCCTTTCCCCACTGAATTGGCAGTATGTCTTGGCTGAGAATCAGCTAATTCTGTATGCATGGGTCTGGACATTGTTTGCTCAGTCACTTACCAGCAATGTGCTATCTTAATTACTTTATAAGTAATTTATAATAAATCTTGCTGGCTGACTGTATTTCTTCCAGCTTTGTTGTTTATTGAAATTGCTTTAGTTTTTCTAGGCCCTTTGCATTTCCATATAAATTTTACAATAAGCTTGCAAATTTCCGTCACAAAACAAAAACCTGCTTGGATTGGCATTGCACTAAGTCTAGAGATCAATTTGGGGAAGTTAATATCTACATGGTATTTGAATCTTCCAACTTGCGAATTTAGTCTATCCCTTTATGTATTTGTTTTCCATTTCTGTCAGAGATGTTTTATAACCTTCAGTATGAAGGTTTTATCTTTTGAAAGGCTTATTCATAGTATTTGACTTTTTCCATATTTTTATTGTTCAAGTACAGTTGTCTCCAATCCCCCCCCACAACCCCAGCCACCCCCACTTCCCACTCTCAATCCTACCCCCTCTTTGGTTTTGTCCATATGTCCTTTGTACTTATTCCTGAAGACACTTCCCCCCTTTTGGTATTTGAGGTTTGTATTAAAAAAATATTTTTAGAGAGAGGGGAAGGGAAGGAGAAAGAGAGAGAAACATCAGTGTGTGGTTGCCTCTCATGTGTCCCCCACTGGGGACCTGGCCAGCAA